TTTGCAATGGAAAGAAGCAGCCAGAGGCATTAACCCTTTCAGTGGCAGGGTTATTTGGAACTGAACAAGTTACACAGAGTGCTTCATGGGCACAGCTGAGTTTTAGGCAAACTATGTATCCCCTGCAAGCAAGAGTCCTGCTCCTTGGGGGTGGGCAGAGTTTAAAAAAAAAAAAAAAAAAAAGAAACTGTGCAAATGGCCAAACCTAGCAAAAAGGTTTGCAACGCAGCATGAACAGCCCCAGGCTTCAGCCTTCTTGCCGTGCCTCGCAACTTGGCCTGGAATCTCAGCACTGAGGATTTGTTTGCACACTGGCGCGCTGAATTCCTTTTCTTATCAGTGTAAGAAAGGCACTCGCCTCTCTCTCGCTCACAGCTTTCTCCTTGGAAGGAATCTGGTTGTTTGACTTGTGTCCAAGGATAAAAGCTCCCTCGCAGTCTTTTTGCTTCTCTTTTCAAGGAGCAGGAAGATTGACTGGGCTCCAGCAAACCTACCTCGCCCAACTTCAAACCCACCCGCATGGCGTGGGTTGGAAAGTTCAGCTCAGATTTATATGCTATTGGGTTTGCTTTCTACTCGGGAGAGACTCTCAGAGTAGAAATCCAGTGGAGACGCTTGCTGGTGGTAAACTGGACAACATGCAAAATTAGCTTTTGTACAGCAGAGCCAGTGTGAGGTCTGGGCACCACTTAAAACATATTTATGCCCCATCTTTAAGGTTTATATGGGATTTAAGTGGTGAACAGGCTTTTTTGCAGGCCTTGTGTGCTTGGGGCAACTTCATTAAGAGTGAAGTACAAAGAATGGGAATGAAAGGATGCAAATATTATAATTATAATGTTATAGTACATAATGATACAATAAATATAGTATATGAATAGGCTTGGCAAAATTTGATCTTTTTTTTATTTTTACAGCTAAAATCGATGGTTATTTTTAAGCATTTGTTACAGTTTATATCAATTAAAATTTTTAGTGAAATCCCTGGCTGTGCCACCCACACACTGGTCCTTTGGCAGTGGCTTGGGCGGCTGTGCTAGTAAGGCTGTACTGGGAGGGGGGTTGGAGGGCTGTTGGCAACCGGGAGCCCAGTGCTGCCAGATGCAGCTCTGCGGGAGTTTGGACCCTGTGTGTGTATGCATCTCCAGGGAAACTTGGCTTGCGAGCACAGCTGGTGCCAGAGCAGCCCCCGATCAGGTGAAACCTTTCCCGTGCCACCTCCTGGTGAACTCCCGCTGCAGCGGGCAGGTTTCCCCTGTGTACCCGCCTGGGGTCCGGGTCATCCTCTGCTGGAGGAATGGCCTGGGCCCCGTTTTATCTCGCTACCTCCTGTGGTGCCAGCTGGGACCAGGGCTTTCTCTGTTGGCCTCTGCCCACCTCCCTCTTCATAGGGGTGCTGCAGCAAGAAACCTCAGTCATAGATGGTACCCTCTGCCCCATATTTCCTAACCCCTGTCCCAGATTGTTTTTTTTTCATCTCTGTTGATGATTATCATCAGTAATCATTTTCTGTTGGTCTGTGAGTGTAAGGCATCATCGATGTTTAGCAATTAAAAAAAAAAAAGACTCCTACCAAGCTTTTTTATGAAGCAAATTATTCTATAGGGTACCTACATAAGTAGCCTCACTTGTAGGAACATCTCAAACATGACAAAAAGCTTTTGGCCTATACACGAATGCTGTTTTGAGAAGTCCAGACCATCATGGGGTTTGTTTTTTTTCCTTCAGAAAAACCCTATATCCCTGTTGTCTGTAGTTGATCCTCTCTGAAAGTGCCTGATGTTTGCGTAGTGAAGTCACTACTCACCTTTGCAAATGCTGACTATTCCCATCTCTTGTGGAATTGCTCTGCTCACCAGCATTGGAAAGGAAGTCCTTGAGAACTACAAATCTCTATTAGTTCTGTGTACCTGAAGGATGAATTGTGAAGTTCACTGTGTTTTTCCCCTGTCCTCCATGTCCAGGGCACATGTCTGAATGGCGTTAGACTCTCATGACAGGAGGTGTCATCGTCGTCGTCCCCCCCTACCCCCAGTGTTCAGCCTCTTTTGCAGTATTTTAGCATTTCTGAACATGAATATGGCTGTCCTTGAAGATCATGGGCATGTAGTCTTGAAAACAGGTCCAGAAGGATATTCTGCATGTGTGTGTGTGTGTGTGTGAGTGCAATTATTTGTTCAGTATATATTATTAATATATACGATTTATAGTATTATTTCTGATTTACATGCACACATGCACATATATGAATCAGATGCCTGTGTCAGCTCAGTTGCTCTTGTAGCATTATCCTGGTTAAAGATACAGCATCGCCGAATGCTTTTCCCTTTTCAGTTTATGCTGAACAATTCATCATGACAAACAGGAAGGGTTGGTATACTTGGGGTTCCTCAACCAACTGGTTGTGAAGTCTGTGTTTCGTTCTCACCTCTGCCACACCTTCCTTGGGTGAACTTGGGCAAATCACACTACCTCTTTCTGCAGTTCAGCTTCCCACCTGTAAAATGTAAAACAGTGAAACCCTGCTTTACAGGTTGGTGCTGAGGATAGACATTTTAGTGCATATAGCACTCCTGGGGGCCGTGGTGATAAGGGGCCTTAGATAAGTCTGCAGCCAGCATAAAAAAGAGCAGTGTGGTTAGTGTTGGATATGAGTTTCTCCATCTGTCGGATCAAGGAGCCATCAGAATAAGCACAGCTATGTGCAGTAATTTGTTACCTTTGAGGCTTGATTTTAATCCTTAGTAACACGAGATGCCAGCAACGCAAGAGAACAGGAGCACCCTGACACACATCCACACCTCTCTCTCCGTGGCTCACAGTGTATTATCACATGATTCTCCAAGGTCCTCTGGTCTGGAGCTTCATAGTTTCTAGGGTCGGAAGGGACCTGAGCAGATCATCTAGTCCGACCCCCTGCCATGGCAGGAAGAGCACTGGGGTCAAATGACCCCAGAAAGGTGGTCATCCAACCTCCTCTTAAAACCCCCCAGGGTGGGAGCCTGCACCACCTCACTTGGAAGCCCTAGCTGCCCTGACCGTGAAGTAGCGCCTCCTGATGTCCAACTTAAACCTTCCCTCCGCCAGCTTGTGACCATTGTTCCTGGTCACTCCTTG